CATGTCTTAGCTGGAGCCACAAAATTCATCAGCTTTGACACACAATTTAAGTGAAACCTGTTTTAGTATTTCAATTCAAAGTAGTAGCACATAATAATATGTCACTGAGTCAAAGTATCATGAAAACTTAAGATTGAGTTGAGGTGGGTTGAGAAGTGGCTTGCAGGCGATATGAGGTTTGGAACTTGGAGGTGTTGAACGGTATCAGCTGATGTGGGCTCGTCTTAAGATCAGCTGGTTGGGCCTGAAGCTGTGCTTGTTTCTTGGCCCATGATTGAAAACTCTATTTCACAAGTCTGCAAGAACTTGTGCACAACAGTGATGAGTGATTGCTTTAGTCACCGCCAGAGAAAGTAAATGTATTGACTGATGCGATGGGTTTAAATACAGGTGTTCATAATAGGCATCCTATTGTTGTGCTTGTCCCCCTTAATCTTATACTCTGCCAGTTTCCTTTCTTCCCTCCCTCTTTCCTCTTCCTTTGTCTCACTCTTCCTTTGCTTAATGGCTTCTCGCCAAATGTCATGCAGAGTCTTGCCGATGACATCATTCTCCTCATTATCAAGCAGCCGAGTTCTTCTTTTTTCATTCAACTTTATTCGCTGTTGTAAAAGACAAGCTGCTCTCAGAGTCTGTGCCAAAATAATGAGCTGTTCTAAAAAAGATTAATACTCAGCATGGTGAACGCATTATGTACTGCTGCTTTCTTAAGGAAGTGGGACTAAGAAAATCTTTAACATTATCTGTAGGAGATAGAAAAAGCTGCAGTCAGTTTTACTGCTCATATAATGGATTGAAACTGTACTCGGGTTGTAAAAAAGAAACCAGATGTGAGGAGTTTTTTTTGTTTTCTATGCACGAGAGCGCACATGTTTATGTGAGATATATTTATGGTCCATATGTCCAGAAAAAGTAAATAACTGATCTATAAAGGTGAAACAAATAGAATATTTCAACTCTGACATTTATGATAACACCTGGAGCTACACACTAGATACAGATGTGTTTATCTCACATCTCTTATCTCTTTATCTAACTTTTATCTTTTTATTTTTTAAACTGCATAACCTAGACTTACTTTCTCAAGCCTGCATGCCTTGTCATAAATGCCCAATGCATGAATTTTTTTATTATGAAAAATACCGCATCCAATTTAAAATACTGCTGCTTACGTTTAAA